CACACACACACACACACACACACACACACACACACACACACACACACACACACACACACACACACACACACACACACACACACACACACACACACACACACACACATACACACACACACACACAGACAAACACAATAAACAAAACACACGCACACACACAGTCACAGACACAGACACAAACACACCCCACCCACACGACAGATCACACAACACAACACGAAAGGGACACACACAAAACCACACACGAAGACAACACACACACAACACACACAACACACACACCACACACACACACCACACACACACCACACACACAACACACACACCACACACACACCACACACACACACACACACAAACACACACACACACAAACACACACACACACAAACACACACACACACACACACACACACACACACACACACACACACGAAGACACACACACGAAGACACACACACGAAGACACACACACGAAGACACACACACGAAGACACACACACACACACACCAACCAGAAAACAACAAACAACAAACAACAGCCGCAAAAGTAACAACCACAAGAACAATCACAGCAATCACAACCACAACACTCACTCACTCGGTCAGAAAGAACAGCAACCAACCATACTGTTGATAAGAACCACAGGACAGCGCTGCACTTGCTAGCAAAAACTGGTCGGAGCATCGGCACACCTGCTGAAGATAGCTTGACATGCTCCAGATGACTGTTCCAAGAATGGCGAGAAGCCTCACAACGACTTCAGATTTCGGGTTTAGGGCCTTTAGGGTCGGGTTTAGGGTTTAGAATATGTCGGGTCCTATGAGTGTGCACGCTGCCAGGACACAATGCTGAAACGAAAAGCTCATGAAACAAGATCAGGAGACATGACGACCATGTGGATCATCAGGACACTCACGTAACGAGCCGAACTGGCGCCGCCCACGTTTATCGCACCGACCTGGAGAGTCACCAGCATGCCAGCGAGCAAAGTCATGTCCAGGACGTTGCCTTCTGGCATTTGGTTGGCAGCCCCCTACGCACCCTTAAGACCTTAAAACTTTACGAACGCACTTTTCATGCCTTTACCATTACTCCTCTCGACCCTGAAACCGAAGACACCGAAACCCTGCACCCTTCGGCAGCTTAGGGGGAGTTAGGGAAGCAGCAAGATGAGAACATGCTAACTTCTGGCGAGTGGCAAACCCTGTGCCGCCATGGCTGGAAGTAGGCCACAAGTACCAGGTTCGACAGCAAGACCAGACTCATCATCAGCAACTTCGATGACACCGCAACGGGAAGAGGGGACAGAACCACCAGCACGTTTCGGATCAAGAAGGCAACGGAGGAGATCTCGGCACCCGTGCGAAAGCGAATGATCAAGAAGGAGCAGTCCTGTAGAAAACCGGTGTCCGATCTCGCGAGTCGCCTGGGCAACTCCATCACGACCAGCCAAGTGCAAAATGTCAGATACAGGAGAGGCAGGCTGCCTTTCTTGCCAAGGGATTTAGGGGAACAGCCAGAAGTTCACCAGGTGCCCCAGAACCCGACTCCCAAACCCGAAACCCAAAACCAGTGTAGGATAAAGCAGATGCCAATCAGAGCCTGGGCTGCAGGAGAGAATTCCCAGGACGAACATCTGGTAGTGTTGCTCGTCGTCGCAGTGCACGGACCCATAGGTTTGAACCGTGTAGCGTCCGTTCGGATGCAGGCGACACTGAAAAGGAGCCAAAAACATGGAGAAGAGTATGATGAACAGGACCATGAAGAGGGCCCCGGCGGTTTTGAGGAGGTGCCGGAAGTGGATCCCGAGGCTCAGCTTGGAAGTATACCGGCAAGGGCCAGCGAGCAAGGCCGCGTGAACCAGTGAGACCACCGCGGTGCTCAGCAGAATTCCGGGGATCATCAGCACACGGACAGCGAAGGAGACAACAGGTCCCATCGTGGTAACACAACTGAAGGATAACATCTCGAAGTCGAAGCTGAAGATGTCCAAGAAGGCCAGAAGGCTTGCAAAAGGCTCGCCCCAAGCGATGCCGAAGCGCCGAAGCACCGCCAGCATCTGCGCAAGGGTCAGAAGTTGTGTCACGCCCACCGCGGCCACAAGCTGGTGGCGGTTCTGCTGAACCTTGGGGACTGTAAAAATGCACTTCACGCATTTCCCATATACACGCAATTCATTTTTGGGAAGCTCTGAATCAGAGCACGATAAGCTTTGAGGTTAAGAAAGAGTTGTTTTTCGAAAGCCACCCGCCTGGGCTCTTAACAAGCCGACATACACGATGGCGACTGCAGCAAGTATACTGGTAGCAAAGGCAAAGGGGAGCATGTAGTCAGCGTCGCTGCACGGTTTGCCTTGCTTGCTCTGCAAACCATTGATTATGTATTGACGAGGCCGTCCGACGTGAAACATCACTCTTCACGAATTTCAAACCCTAAGCCCCAAACCCTAAACCCTTATGCTGGAGCAGCTGTTCCAACTTGCCGCTCGAGTGCAGGATCCATCCGCAGCTGGGCGTAGTCCGTCTAAGCACTGCGTGCACGCCAGAGTCTCCTTGACCCAAACAACCCCCGAACAAAATGGGAAGGGTCGCAAAAGCACACCCGAAACCTCTTCAGCCCGGTCTTACTCCCGCAGGAAACCATCCTGCCACCTACACTACGACGACCGCGACTAGCCATACTTGCTGGTAGAACCCTCAAGGCTTTTGTCCCGATGGCTCCGTTTGCATCGCGACTCGAAAAGCTACAAACACCATGCTTCTCGGCACTTCGCTTTTCGGTCTTCTTCTTGGAGTGCAAAGTTGTGGGGCTTTGGTTGGCCTCATTTTTGGGAAGCACAGTTTCTTGCATGTGGTGGTTTCGTACTGCACTCACAAACTCTAACCCCTTTGCGACTTGTACGACGGCCAGTGCATCCAATCTTGAACGGTGATCACGTCCGTGCGAGATACGGTGACTTTGATTGGAAACCTTCGACCCTTTAGTCCCTCACCCTGAGCCCTTTACCCTTAAACCCAAAGCCCTGTAGCCCCAACCCCCTTCAGTCCTACGCCTTAAGACCGTGCAACCAAGTGCAGTCCCAAACTCCTAAACCTCATACCCCTTGATTCCGGCGCAGTGCAATCTCAAAATTCCATTAAAATCCTTGAAGTCACGAATTATTGGCCTGGCCACATTTCGCGACCCATCTCTGCAAAATGGCTCACAACTTCCGCCCCACAATTCCGGCTGCACATACTACGAAAGTGTGGCCTGGCCACATCCAAATGACTTTTGCATACAGAAAAGCATGGGGGCAAACATTAAATGCCACGTACTAGTACTAGTACAAGTACTACTTACTACGACAAGGACTACTGCTACTACTGCAACGATGGCTACTGCTACTTTGTTGTTGTGGCAGCAAGAATGCCGCTCTTGAAAACACAAAGAGCCGGAACAACAACCACAGTGATCATATGTTGACAACTACAGCAGCAACATACTGACCAACACTCCAGAAGCGATGATCGTGGGTTCGACGGTGTAACGACGACAGCGACTGGCGCTTGTACTTCTTCCGGCTGACTTACCGGTTGCTACTTGCTGCCCCAAAAAGACCACGCATCGCCTAGGTGCTGCTTACGCCTCCACCATCTACTACATGTTACGCTGCTTGTTGCGATCTGTGCTCCGCTTCTTCCTCCTCCTCCCCTTCGCCCCTTCGGAGCGGAGGTCCAAGTTCTATGACAAAGGCAACAAAAAGTAAGCTTCCTCCACATTGCTTCCTAGATTCATTGTCGCGGCCATCGGAGCAGGTCCCCGGATGCCCACCTGGGCAAAGATGTTCCTCACATTCGTAGACATCTCCGGGTGCCTCACGGGCAAACGCTTCAGTAACAAGCCCCAAAACACTGCGCACCTTCTCTGAAGGTCTGAGGGCCCTTTGCAATTCCGAGGCACCTGAGCCGAGGAGAAATACCCGGCTAGAAGTACCAATTCGTTCGAGCCCGGGCAGTGGCTGCCGCGCGGGCAGAGCTTGCAAGAACCTTGCAAGACAAAACGTGTTTTGGTGAGGGGTCGAGGTTAGTGTTGGGCTTAGGGCTTTGCTAAGGGCTTAGGCTTCAGGGTTTGTGGGATCTGGCCCAACTTAAGGTCGGACCACTCCGTCCCACTGCGTCCCTCAGTGCCGAAAGCTCGATTAGGAACACGAGGCAAATCGCACGGTTTAGAGTTTATAGGGCAAAGTTGCAGCGCCAAAAAGCATCGATACGCCAATGCGTTCGCGAGCCCCGCAGAAGGGAACTACGCCGATATGCCACCCCTCACCCCCAGAGACTGCCCCGTGGAAAAACGCTGACGCGTCATCCCCACCCCCCCCCCCCCCCCAAAAGCTGCCCAAGCCCATCCCAGGCGCATGCCCAAGCTGAAAAAGTAACATTGGCATGTGAGATGCCGACACGGTTGCTGCGAGCAATCGAACAACATGAACACCAGAACACATTCTACAGGAGCTCGTTGGCTTCGGGTCCCAACTTAACTACTATATATCAATCAGACAATTGCGGGCGTTGCCCAACCCCAAAACCTACTTCCCGTCATGATCCCGCCAAGAAGCATACCGACAGATTTCCAAACCCTCTTAACAAGCGTAAGCCCTGAACAACCCTCGACCCTGGCCTCTAAGAACCGAAGCCCTAAACCCCAAACATAACCCTAAACCCTAGACCCTACACCCTAGACCCTAAATCCCTGAACTCAGAAGACATCAGAAAAAAAGCGCTCGTCGCTGAGCCTTGCCAGAGGAAACGGCCCGCAACACAAGTGCAGAGGCTCCCAGAGGTGGCTCCTAGAGGGGCTTCTTGCGTGTATAACTTGGGGGGCCTTTCAATACGGTTTTCAAAGCCTTTTCTTCGGTTCAGGGTGCCAATTGCAAAGAATGGACCTTGGGCTGCCTCAAAGACTTGAAAGACTTGAGGGGTTATCTTTTTTGGGGTTGCGGAGGCTTTGAGTGGCTTTGGGGTTCGGGGTTTTCGAGGGCGAGCCTTTTTTGTGCGGAGGTCTTAATCTCCAGTCCCCCAATACGCCATCAACCCTCCCTGCAGATTTCTTTGGGGGCGGGGGGCTCAAGGTTTTTGAGCTTAGGAGTTGGGTTCTTTTGGTCTAAGGGCTTCAGGGCTTCGGTTTTGGCAGATCTGGGACGTAGTAGGTTGCAAGTAAACCGACTTAACAAATCTTCCCATCCCTCGAGTAATGTCTCAGGTTCGGAGGCTTCAGGTCTAGGGCTTGAGTCCCCCCCAGTGCCAGGAGAGCAAGTCCAGTGGAAGCTTGAGAGAGTATGTTTCGATTTAGGATTAAGGGTTTAGAGTTCAGTTTAGGGTGCTTAGGGTTTTGACTTGAAGATGTATGTCCGGGTCGAGGACCACAAGACACTGAAACCAGCCGGAGACGAACCTTCAGGGCACAGGGGTTCATCCCCGAAACTCCTCAAACTCGCCCCCGCAAAAACCCGAAACCCCGAAAGCTAAAACCAAGAAAGCTCCTTGAACCTCGATGACGTGCCTTCCAGAATCGACTTCCTTGGAGGCACTTCAGGGTTCTGAGGTTTGGGGCCTGGGGGCTTGGCGTGTAAGGCTTTGCTCGGTTTCCGATGTGAGCGAAACTCTGTAACAGTGTCTGGTTCTGGGCCCTTGGCGGTTTGTAGCCCCCCCCCCCACTCAGCACCCAAGTTTCTCTGCTGGTGGTCCACATCCCCTCCTGCTCTGTTCCAGCACTGCAAGAGAAGCAAAAGCTCATAGCAGAGGAGTTGGCGAACTCACCGAGCCTGCACTCAGAAGCGTCCAGAAGTAAAGAGCATGGGTGACATCATGCTTGCAAAGAAGGTGAAGAGCCGAGGTGTTTAGCGGGAGGAGCTTTTTTCTTGGACATTGCCCTGAGCAACATGCGACATCCGCGTGAATGCCCCAATCTTAGTTGTCCAGTACCCTGGGGGAATTAAAGGTTAACCTTTGGGATGTTATAGGGATTAGAATAACCCCAAAAAGGTTAAAGGTTGCCTACTCTACTACTAAGCAATTGTCAAAGGGCCTGCATAAGGTGCATTGCGTGGAGCCCCGCGCCGCAGCCATGGTACCAAGCTCACAGTCGCTGCAGAAGGAAGCTCCATAGGAATCCCTGAGTGCTTTTGAAACCCTACGGTTTAGGGTTTAGGGTTTAGGGTTTAGGGTTTAGGGTTTAGGGTTTAGGTTGAAATCCTTTGAACAAGCTCCCTTACAGAGGAGAATACACATGTCCCAAAAGCACAACCCAGAGTCTGGAAGGAGCCCACCGGGCAAAGGGAGCAGGTGAACGTACTCGCCGATCTCTCCGACGCCCGTCCGGGTGGGCAAGTGACACAGTCCTTCGCGTCAGATCCTCGGATGGCCTTTAACCCCTCTGAAAAAACTTCAAAAAAGATGATCCTCTTAAACCCAACAAGGGAAATGATAAAATATCCCAAAGACCTACCTAGGATCGTGCTGCCACAAAGTTCCCTTGTGCATCCGCCAGGCCTTGGCCCACTGTGCAATCCGTCTGGCTTGGTACCCAGCTGCTCCACTGGTCTCTGTGTGTCAGAATCCAGGCACAAGCAGAGCCACGTGCATCTCTGATGGCATCTCTGCCTGACTGCACATGGGTCCGCAGGAGCTCGTTGAGATCGCTTTCGCTCATGCGGAAGCCTTGGACAAAACGGACGGCTCGTTGGGCCACGTTCAGCAACTCAGCGGCGATCCAATTCTGCAAGGGTTCTACATTGTCTACGGTCTTGAAGATGCCCTGCTCATGCTCGGCTTCGTCGTACTGGGGGAAGACCACGCGAGCAAGTTGGAGGTCGGAAAACGTCGTGTCGGGAGACCACCAGAATGCCAGCGACTTGAGCGTCCGAGTCACGCTCGCGTAAGCATCGAAGTTCACGGCCGAGGCGAAGGCAACTGGCATGTTGTGAAAAGCAGCCAGCTGCACATGAGTCCGCATCCCCCAAGCACCATCGCCAGTTACAATGGCAACGCAGTTCGAAACGTTGGATCTGCACGCTGGCGCTGGCCACCATTTGTCGTGCCAACATTTCAGATACCACTTGCCCTGCCGATTCTCCACGCCGTCAGCATCACCTGTGGCATTGAGGTACTGCTGTCCTATGGCGGGCCATGCTATGTCCACACTTTGGCCACAAGGAAGAAGATGATCCAGATCCACTTGGCTTACAGTTGCCAGGTAGTTCTCTGGATGGAACCAGGAAGCATTGTAAGAGAAGTAATAGGCTAAATCCAAGCCGGTATCCGCCCGATACGCCTGTCGCCGTTCTTCGAAAACGAAAATCCCCTCAGTTCCCGGATACCCAATACTGCCAACGTTCTGCGGAGCCGCATCACCCATCTGGCTTGCAACAGAAGTAAACTCGCTTAACGCCGCAGCAGGCGTATAGATTTCCATGGCGATGTGGTAAGACGAAGGCGTTGTGCAGCTGTCGGGGTTCGCGCAACCGGCCAGTCGCAATAAGCGATTCAGGGAATGAATTTCCAGCCCTAAGCGATAGTTATAGCCAAGTACCTCGGACACCACGATGCCAGCGATCTCGTTAATGATGATGTTTGCATCCCAGTCGCCTGACGTTATGCCGATAGGCATCGAAATGCCTTCGACTGTGATGTTTGACCGTTGGTTTTCCGGCAGCGCCTCCGGCAAGCATGTCTGTGCACCGTCTGCAACGGTAAGCCGCCCAATAAGCAGAGGAAGGAGCAACGATGAGCAAATGAAGGGTGCCCGAACACTCCACGGCATGTTTTTTTTTGAAAACATCTGTGATGGCACGCTTGTGTCGCCACGTCTTGAGCCCGAGAACGTATAGGGTTTAGGGTTGCATCGTAGGCACCAATATGCATCAATGACGTCTGGATTAACGTCGAATCTCTGCGTAGCACCTGCAGAGGTACTTGTAGGGCACTTCGTTCCGGAACACTTCGCCACTAGGAAAACTCTTGAACCAAGAAGGTTGCTTGGGAAGTTCACGATTTACATATGCTTTGCAGGTCATGGGCTGTAGACATGAAGGTCACTGCAAGCGACTGCTACAGGTATTCCTCCAAATCCTTCTCGCGAGAACGTGCTGTTTGCCTCTTGGGGACCTTAAAAAAGAAGTGTCCCGGGGCCTCCAAGGCCCTTGTCTCCGCAGTCCTGTGTCGCCCCCATGGCCGAGCCGAGCCGCTAAGTGCAAGTGCAAGTGACGAAGGCCCCTCTGAGAAGGAGGCACTTCTGAGAAGAATTTCCCACACGCTTTTGCCTCTGGGGGCCAGGGCCGGCAAGTCTTCCAGGGTTTTCCTCTGCGGAAGCTGGGGGCTCTCCTTGGGCTTTGCCTCTTCAAGGCCCTGGCATGGCCTCAGCCTTACACAAACGATGCACATATACATATATATATTATACTATTATATTATATTATATATATCTATATATATATATATATATGTGAGAGGGACCTTTTGGGTCCATTTCACGTATATCACTTGTATGAGGAATTTAATTTATTTACCTATTAATTTCTTTAATTTCTGGGGCTCTCTTAGGGAAATAAATGAAATTAAAGAAATTAATTAATTTCATTAATTTCTTTAATTTCTGGGCCTCTCTGTGCGAAATTAAAGAAATTAATTAAATTAATTAATTTCTTTAATTTCATTAATTTCTTTAATTTATTTTAATTAGTCCCGTGAGCCGGGGGGGCTCCCCCAATTAATTTCTTTAATTTCTTTAATTTCTGGGCCTCTCTGTGAGAAATTAAAGAAATTAAAGAAATTAATTCCGGTAGCCCTTCGGGCTTGCGAGACTAATTAAAAGAAATTAATGAAATTAAAGAAATTAACGAAATTAATGAAATTAATTAATTTCTTTAATTTCTTTAATTTCTGGGCCTCTCTGTGAGAAAATAAAGAAATTGAAGAAATTAATTAATTTCATTAATTTCTTTAATTTCTGGGCCTCCCTGTGAGAAATTAAAGAAATTAAAGAAATTAATTAATTTCATTAATTTCTTTAATTTCTGGGCCTCTCTGTGCGAAATTAAAGAAATTAAAGAAATTAATTATTTCTTGAATTTCATTAATTTCATTAATTTCTTTAATTTATTTTAATTAGTCCCGTGAGCCGGGGGGGCTACCCCAATTAATTTCTTTAATTTCTTTAATTTCTGGGCCTCTCTGTGAGAAATTAAAGAAATTAAAGAAATTAATTCGGTAGCCCTTCGGGCTTGCGAGACTAATTAAAAGAAAAAGAAATTAAAGAAATTAAAGAAATTAATGAAATTAATTAATTTCTTTAATTTCTTTAATTTCTGGGCCTCTCTGTGAGAAATTAAAGAAATTAAAGAAATTAATTAATTTCATTAATTTCTTTAATTTCTGGGCCTCTCTGTGAGAAATTAAAGAAATTAAAGAAATTAATTAATTTCATTAATTTCTTTAATTTCTGGCCCTCTCTGTGCGAAATTAAAGAAATTAAAGAAATTAATTAATTTCTTTAATTTCATTAATTTCATTAATTTCTTTAATTTATTTTAATTAGTCCCGTGAGCCGGGGGGGCTACCCCAATTAATTTCTTTAATTTCTGGGCCTCTCTGTGAGAAATTAAAGAAATTAAAGAAATTAATTCCGGTAGCCCTTCGGGCTTGCGAGACTAGTTAAAAGAAATTAATGAAATTAAAGAAATTAAAGAAATTAATGAAATTAATTAATTTCTTTAATTTCTTTAAATTCTGGGCCTCTCTTGAAATTAATTAATTTCTTAATTTCTTTAATTTCTGGGCCTCTCTGTGAGAAATTAAAGAAATTAAAGAAATTAATCAATTTCATTAATTTCTTTAATTTCTGGGCCTCTCTGTGCGAAATTAAAGAAATTAAAGAAATTAGTTAATTTCTTTAATTTCATTAATTTCATTAATTTCTTTAATAAAATTTCCCTGATGTTTCCCTGTTGCGCTTTTTTTTGGCCCCGATTGTTTCAGGGAAGTTTTCCCTTGAAACCCCTGTGTAGTGCTAGAATTTCCCCTCGAATCCCTTTAAGGCTTCGTGTATCTGTACCGCGTTCCCTTTTCTATTCCCTTACTTTCGTGCTGAAACCATCGCCCTTTCTTTCCCTTAATTTCCCCAGTCATCCCTTAAAGAAAGGGACGCCTTCAAGATGTAGGAAGGATTTTTCATATAGTTGTGTGTACAATGGCTTGGTACTAGCGCTCTAATTTTCAAGAAGCTGTTTTGCAAGTAATGTGTGTCACGAGTTTGCTACGTTCATAGGCAGACGATGTAAATACACCCTCTCTAAACAAACCATTTCCCCTAAACCCTGAACCCTAAACTCTAAACCCTAAACCCTAAACGCTCAAAGACTCCTACGGCCTCCAGGCCCTCTAAGAATCCCAAGTTCTCTAAGACTCCCAAGCCCCCTACACTTCCTAAGGCCCCGAAGCTCCCCAGGCCCCCTGAGCCCGCCAAGCCTCCTTAAGTCCCGTAAGCTCCCTAAGCTGTCGAAGCCCCCTTACTCCCTAAACAATTTCGCAGAGCAAGCAGACAGCAAGTGAAGTTCATACAGTTCAAGTCCGTTTACTTCAGATCTATTGAATGCCAATGAAGTGTATAGAGTTGACCACAAGTGCATGGCATTCAACTCAACACACTTGAGTGCCATGCAGTTCGAGTGCATACACGTCCAGTATACAAGTGCAGTATACAAGTGAGTATGCAACCATATAAGTGCATACACTTAAGTGCATACACTTGTCCAAGTGCATACAGTTCGAGCGCACAGAGTCAAGTGCATAGACTCAACGCACCGCAAATCGATGCTTTCGGGCCAATCGTCTTCTAGTTTAAATTAGTCCCGTGAGCCGGGTGGGCTCCCCCAATTAATTTCATTAATTTCTTTAATTTCTGGGTCTCTCTGTGAGAAATTAAAGAAATTAAAGAAATAAAAAAGAAATTAAAGAAATTAATTCAGGCAGCCGTTCGGGCTTGCGAGACTAATTAAACGAAATTACAGAAAGTAAAGAAATTCAAGAAATTGAGGGAGTTAAAGAAATTAAAGGTTTTCAGAAATTCAAACAATAAAGAAATCAAAGAAATTAAAGAAATTAATGAAATTCATGAAACTAATTCCGGCAGCTGTTCGGGCTTGCGAGATTAATGAAAACAAATTAAAGAAATTCACAATTCATTAATTTCCGTAACTTCTTCCTGTCTGTGAGAAAAACAAGAAATGCAAGAAGTTAATTCCGGTAGTCGTTCGGGCTTACCAAAAGCAAAGGAGAATCACGTCCCATTGAAAGATAGACGAGTTGTGTCTTTGTACGTTGCGAGGTGGGGGAGCTCTTTCACAAGAGGTAGGTAGAGGACTTTCTCATGTCCGGCAAAGAGATAGAGACGATCTTTCATGACCCGCTACGAGATAGAGGAGCCTCTTTCATGTAAAGGGTAGGAAACGGTAGAGCTGCGAGCTCGTCTACCCATTGACGGGAAATGAGCAAGACAGGACATTAGAGTGCTCTTGTAGCTTGTATGAGTGAATTCTTGTCATTGAAAAAGGGGAGCTCTTTCGCAAGCGGTAAAGTAGAGAACTCTCTCATTTGCTGGAAAGTCTTTCATGACCTATTGCGAGATAAAGAAGCTCTGCCACGTAGAAGGTAGCAAACGGTAGAGCTGAGACGCTGAGAGCTCCTCTACCTAGGGACCTAGTGACGGGGAACCAAAAGGATAGGATATGAGAGAGCTCTCCTGAAGGAGTTCTTCAATCTCTGATTAGGAGATGAATGAGCTCCTGTCTCTTCTCATACGTAATGACAGACAGGAAATGAACGATGCCCTCGAGCTTTTAACGCATCAAGAAAAAGCTCCTCTATCCCCTACAAGAGTGGGAGAGAGGGAAGCCCTCTCTGACCTATTAGGAGATAGAAGAGCTTGCTCATTGCAAAATATCAAGAGGAGGAGCTCTTGCAGAAGTCATGACCTGTTAGGAACCAGAGGAGATAGAAGAGCTTGCTCATTGCAAAAGGGGAAGCGGAGGAGCACTTGCAGAAGAGGCAAGGAGCTCCTTCACTTGCTACAAAGACACAGAGGAGCTTTCAGACGACGTATATTCAGAGATAGCGAAACTCGATCACGTAGAGATAGAGACTCTCTTAATAGAGACTAATGAGTTATGTCATGTCTCATTTATCGGACAGAGAATGGCCCAGGGCGACCTTCAAAACTCTTCATTGATAGAGAAGCTATTTCGGAAAACAAACATGGTGGAGAACTCTCTCATTCCTGCAATGTGATACAGGAGGTCTCTCATGACCTCTTGTGAGATAGAGACCGGTTGCATCAGGGAAGTTTTCCCTGGAAACCCTTTGCTATTCCCTTACTTTGGTGCTGAAACCATCACGTTCTTGTTCCTTAATGCCCCAGTAAACCCTTGGAGAAAGAGGTGTTTTCAAGATGTGGTGGGGTATCTCATGTAGGAATGTACAATGGTTAGACACTAGCGCTCTTGCTTTCAAGAAGCAGTCTTGCAAGTAATGGCTCTGGGTTATGTCACGGGTTTGTTACGGTAATAGGCAGACTACACAAATACACCCTCCATTAAATTCCCGTAGCCCTATAAACCCTACACCCTGCACGCGAATCCTGAGCCCCCTAAGACTCCTATGCCCCCTACGATGAGATATAGTTCATGGGAGAGCTCTTATACCGTTTATGAATGCATTCTTCTATCTTTGAGATGAAAGAGCTCCTCTATCTTCTCATAGGAAATGAAA